AATGCAGAAGTACTGTGGGAAGAATGGCTTCGAAAGCACAGTTGACACTTAAGTCACCTTGAGTTGGTGACAGTTTGCCTGGGATCTGAGGAGGAAAAGGTGTATGTTGGTACAACGCGGGAAAGAAAGAACGTTCCAGGCACAGGCAACAGTGTGTCAAGGCTGAGAGGCTGGGAGCTCAGGTTTTGCCTTGTTTTTGTTTAGGAAGTAAAAGAAGCCAGTGTGGCTGGCGCAGTGAGCTAACCTGGCACTGAACAGGAAAGGAAGGGAGACTGGGCGGGAGCATGCTCAGGGAACATGACCCTCAAGTCACCGGCCCCATTTCAACTACAAGCCCCCAGAGCAGAGGCAGATAGCCCCGAAGTCCCTGGCAGTGGGAGAACCCTCTGTTTTACTGGTTCCTGTTCCCTTCTGCAGGGCAGAAGGCAGGAGCCACACCTGTGGTTGCCTGAACCCCCCACTTGCTTGAGGTCAGGGGGCTTGCTCTGTGGGACACGTTGGGTCAGATGCAAACCCAAGTCTGTGAGCAGTGAACCTCCCGCCTCCTGCCCTGGGAGGCGGCTGCAGCCTCAGCCTCTCTCTGGCTCACTGCAGCTGGAGATGGAGGGAGCAGATGGCCCGCTGGCCCACGTTCCAGCCAGATTGCCAGGGAGGTGTGGGCAGAGCACCAGGCGGGTGCCAGGAGCAGGATGCTCCAGGGAGAGGGGGCGGGGCCACCTCTTTGCCCTCAGGGGATAGGGGGTGGCGCAGGCGGCCCTCTATGGCCTCACAGTGGTCCATCAGCACTGCTGCAGAGAGACCCGCTTCTGTCCGTTGTGACCTGCTCCAGAGCTCTGGAATGATGCATGGGTTTCTGTGCAGCATCCAGCCCTTCGGGGAAGGACCCCAGTGGAGCTCAGTGATTGGTTTTTTTCTGTGCATGTTCCTAATGTAAGTGACACTAGCTTTTAGACACGATTCTACTAAATCCTCACAGCATCCTGACAATGGATGTGCTGGTGGGATCCCCACTGTCTGGTTGAGGACTTGTGGCACAGACTTGAGGGATAACTTGTGTAAAGCTACGGTGAAACAGACAGCAAGAACCCACGGGTCATTCTGACAAGCCTGGGAGCTGGGAAAAGAGCCAAGGATGGGTAGCCAGCAGAAGTGGGGGGCACTCCCAGCTCACTGGAGGAGGGCAGGCCCCTCTTGTCTTTGTGCCCCCCAAGCCTAGGCAACCCTTAGACCTCACACCAGCTTCCTCTATTATCCAAGATGCCCAGAGAGTTGGAAGACAGGGCCTTGGTGTAGCTGAGCGAGTTGCACACTGTACAATTTTAGAGCGCTTCATTGACATCGGCTAGGGTGAAAATAATCCCCTTTTAGATGAGACCACCTTGAGAAGGACTTTGGGGACCAAGGGTCTAAAACCCTAGTAAATACATATGGCCCACAGTCTCTGTGATGACTCCACAGCTTTGCCATGGTAGGGTAAAAGCAGTCGTAGGTGATATGTAAATGGATGAGTGTGGTGGGGTCCAATCAAGTTTTATTTACAGAAATAGACTGCCTGACAGATTTGGTCCACAGGCCAGTTTGTCAATCCCAGTGAAGACCATAGAAGGAGTTTAGACCCATGTAGAGCCAGGAGAGGGCTTTGAGCCAGGGTAAAGAGAGGCCAAGTTACAGTTGACATGGCCCAGACAGATCTGACTGTGCCCCAAACCCCTGACCAAGGCAGAATGTTTCTTCAGCTTTGTGAGTTCTGGAACATGTTGGTTTATAAGAAGCAACTTGGCCTGGCACTGGTAAACCTCTGATGCTTACCTGGTCTGAAAAGTGGAGACTACTGATTCCCCTCTTCCCTGGATAGCTCTTGGTTTAGTTCTGGAAGAGCAGAGCCATTACTTGGGCTCAGGACTCAGCATCTGGTGCCACATTTTATTTAACTCTTTATTCAGTGTGTGTGTGTGTGTGTGTGTGTGTGTGTGTTTGTGTGTGTGTGTTAGTGACCTTTCTGACCCTCTGTCTCCTTTTCTGTATGTGGGGACCCTGATAGATGTGAAAGCAGGAAGGAACATGATTCTGCATGGAGCTGGGAACACAGGGTAGGCTCTGTCCAAGGACTCCTAATAGCTGAGACCCAGAGCACCACGGCCACACATTGGGGAGTGGGATTTTGCTCCACTGAGCTGGGCCCAAGGCCAGCTCCAGCCTCCCTGCTGGAGCTGGGCAAAGAGAGCTGCTGAGGAGGCCTTGGCTCATGAATATTAAGGGTTTCTTAGAGATGGAGATGACTTGTCCCACTTATTGGGCTGAAAATAACTGCCCGACATCAGGGTAATTACATGGCTTGGGCTCCCACGCAGCACAGAGAGCACCCCAATAATTACTATGCACAAAGACTGCTGTTGGCAGCTGCTATTTGTTTATTTATTTATTTATTTGTTTCTTGGAGAGTCTCCTGGACAGGAAGCCTGGTCGATCAGCCATCCCAGGCAACTCCAGTTTGCCTCATGGGAACAGAACCTTCTAGAAACCCTTTTCAGATAGTCATAATGTCCATTTCTTCTCTCCCTCAAGCTTCTGTCAGGTTCAGGAGCACCCTCGTCCTCCCGGCCCCCCTCCTTCTCCCCCCCCCCTACCCATTGACCCTGGGGCAGAATGTGCCTGGGTTGTCTGAGACTTTGCTGCAATCCCTTAGCATAGCCTGAGGCCAAGACCAGTTGCCAGGCGGCTTGGGAGGAACCTGCAGGCCAGAGCTGCCTGCTACAGACAGGAGTCTCCAGGCTTAGCCCTGGCTAACGCTTCACTGCTCAGAGATGGAGAGACTATGAGCTTGTACTGAGTTAGGAGGCTGCCTATTGGGCAAAGCCCCAGAGGAGACCTTGAAGATGAACTCTGTATCATGCTTTAGGAATAGAGTTACCAACATCAGACTATGGTCTTACCTGCTTAGGGCTTAGAATCTAATGTCAGACCCAAGGTTGCAGTGTTCATTGTGATAAGGCTATGAAATGTACGATAGGAGCCTTAGGTGTGTGTGATGGGGGGAGATTGGGGAGTTTGAGCTGAGTCCTAAAGAATGAGGAGTGAGGCTGGTGTGTGTGTGTGTGTGTGTGTGTGTGTGTGCACGCGCGTGCTTGCACGTGATGGTGGATTGGTGGATGAATGGGTGACCGAATCTTCCAGTCAGTGGGTTCAGGCTTATGCAGAGGTTCAGAGGTCAGAGTAAGTATGTAACTAGCGAACAAATAATGATTACAGAAAATGTTTGGAGTATAAGAAATGAAACTAGAGTTGGGTGTCAGTTGTTCACACTCATAATCCTAGTCACTCAGGAACCTGAGACCTGAGGATTATGGTTCAAAGCCAGCCTGAGCAGGAAAGTCCTTGAGACTCTTATCTCCAATTAATCACCTGAAAACTAGGAGTGGCACTGTGGCTTAAAATGGTAGAGCACTAGTCTGGAGCAAAAAGAGCTCAGGGACAGTGCTCGGGCCCTGAGTTCAAGCCCCATGACAGACCAGAAAAAAAAAAGAGGAGAATTGAACCAGGGCAGGGGGATAGGATTAGTGCATATATTTTGGTGTATTGTGCATTGAGCAGCTCCAGAGGGTGCAAGTCTTCCAAATCATGATGCCAGCAGTGTACCTGCCTCCTCGAATTGTTCTGGATGGTGGTCTACAGATTCCTAGTGCAGGGACCTACCATGCATGACCTCGAATGTCATAGGAAGCAATGTGGCCATTGTTTCTTGGGCAATGGGGAGTTAGGGACAGCTTTTGCCATTTGTGCTGGGGTTCATTTCCATTTATGACTCCTGAAAAGAGCACTGAGCAATAGAACTCTATGTGTGTGTGATGTCTGTGTGCGCGTGTGTGCGTGTACGCCATTCCTGGGGCTTGAACGTCGAGCTTGGACATTTCCCTGAGCTTTTTTGCTCAAGGCTAGTGCTCTACTGTTTGAGTCACAGCTCCACTTCTGCTCTTCTTTTTGATGGTTAATTGGAGATAAGAGTCTCATGGACTTTCCTGCCCTGGTTAGCTTTGAACAGTGATCCCCAGATCTCAGCCTTCTGTGTAGCTAGGATTATAGGCACGAGTCATCAGTGCCTGGCTTCCAGTAGAACTTTTTAAGAAGTTAGCAATATCTCGATGTGCTTGTGGCATTAAGCATAGAGCAACCGAAACACTTGCATGTTTGAATTAAATTTTAAGTCATCTCAATAGCTAGACTCAGCTCATGGGTCTGTGTGAGCATGCAGAGAAGAGGCTCTCTGACTAGACAAAGTCCTGTCACCTCATTCTCAGCAAGTCTTCTGAAGACATCACCTTGCTTTGTGGAGGCCTCAACCCCTCCCTCACATGGGGCCTCTGCGTGCTGGGGCTGGCGTGCAACTGGGCTGTGGTCTGGGAGTTGGGAGATTGAGCTGAGGGGCTGCCCCCATCCCCACTACTCTTGAGGCCTTGTGGGCTCTCCACCCTTTCCTGTCAGTGGGAGTCAATGACTGGTGATTGCCCTTAAGAATGAATGATGCTCTCCCCTTAGCTTGTCCCTTACAGCGGGGGCACACGGAGGAGGCCATGTCCAACTGCACTGGCCATCATGGTCACCGTGGGCTCCAGTGGATCCCTCCATGAACTACAGAGTGGGAGACTGCCCAGATCTGGGCCTTCTAAAGCTGGGGTCAGAGCCAGGAGGTCTTAGCTGGCCTGTGGGATCACGGGACTTGGGCTTCAGGTGACAGCTGGGGCCAGTATGGTGTATGGGGGTGGAGGAAGATGACCATGGGAAGGGGACAGGCCAACTGCTGAGATCAGTGCCTGACATACAGGAAGATGACAGCCACCACCTCATGCTAGTCTGGCCCAAGATAAGACAAGCCAAAGCCCTTCTGTGCCCTCGGTTTTCTCATCTGGACAATGGGGAGGGTGTTCATACCTCATCGGCCTGGGCCCCTGGCGCATGCCTTCCCTGTGTGTGAAGGGATCCTCACTCTGTCCCTCCTGTTACAGTCCGCTACTTCCTGAAGAATAAAGTCAGCCCTGATTTGTGCAATGAAGATGGACTCACAGCCCTGCACCAGGTAAGCCATGCTTGCTGGGGTCCCCGTGTTCCCTGCTTTGATGGAGAGCCCTCCCTTCTCCCTGTACTGTCCTGCCCTGCTTCTCAGGGAAGAGGGAGAGAGGGACAGAGAATGGCTCTTGTCTGCCTTGGGGATGTGTGTGTGTGTGTGTGTGTGTGTGTGTGTGTAAGAGAGAGAGAGAGACATGTGCACACATGTACAGGACAGGCCCAGGGGACAGGAGGTCTTTGTGCCTGTCATCTCCACTGCCCAGTTGACAAAGATCATTCCCACTCACCAGGATATCTGCTGTGCTGGAGATGAAGGTGATTGACAGATGTTGGCTGTGGTCACAGGGCCAAGAGCTTGGCCATGACCCCTATGCACCATGATGACACTTCCACTTCCCCAGTGAGCCCTCCTTGCCTGGGATGAGGCTGTGTGGGATGTCATGTTTCTCTCTCCTCTGCAGCCTCCTAACCCACCACAGGACATAGCCTTGCTCCCTGAGATTAATCAACACGTTCTTGTCCTAATGCTACTCTCCAAGACCCTGTGAAGCCTGGTCCCTGCCCAGCGTTCTGAGTCCCTGCCTCTAATCCGACCCTGGCCTAGAGGAGGTCTTTAACATGCGCATGGTGAATTCCTGATCAACACACTGGAGCACTTCTGTGCGCTGGCCAGGTCTGCAGGTAGATTGGTTAGGGGGAGGCCAGATAATTGGAACCCTGCTCAGGAGAAGAATGGACAGACTGGCCATTGTGACTGCCCATATGTGTGTGTGTGTGTGTGTGTGTGTGTGTGTCTGTCTGTCTTGTCTGTCTGTCTGTCTGTCTATTTCTGTCTCTGTGTCTGTCTGTCCTAACTTTCAGCTCCATGATTCTAGGCTACTTGGGGCTGCACCAGAGGGAGGGAGGGTGGACAGTGGAAACCCAAATGTTAACTCCCCAGGCAGCGAGGGTCCTGAAGCCAGGGGTGTGGTGATTCAGTGAAGCCTGGAGCTGCCACTCCCTGGCTGGTGACCTTGGACAACTTCCTTAGGCTCTCTGGGCAGCGGTGACCTCCTCTGTGACAAGCTCTGGCCACAGAGCTCCACAGAGTGTGGCTAAGGTGATGGAAGATGACTTTGGAATTAATCACAGTGAATTTAGATTACGAGTGGGTGGGCCCTGGCAGAGCGGGGTGGCACCGGGGGCTCTTGCCAGTACACGGCGGCTGCAGAGCTCCAGGCCCACCCTGGGGTTGCCATCTGGGCCTTGGTGAACAACCTTAGGTCGCCTCCCTTTGGCTTGGAGTTCCTCCCATCCCCACATTATGCTTCCTCTTCTTATTTACTGTCACATGGCTTCCCCCGAGCCCATTGCTCTTCCAGTGGGTTCCCCGGTACCCACTCAGAGGCAGGGAGGTGAGAACTGATTTGGTCCCGAGTTTCGTTACCTTTAGTCCCACCTCCACCATGATACTCACCTTGGGCCCTATTTTGCCATCGCTCTCCTTCCACTGGCCTGCATTCATTCATTCATTCATTCATTCATTCATTCATTCATGCATTCAACCAATCTTTATTGCATATCTACTCTGTGGTAGGCACTCTTGCTGGGACAGGATCCCAGGAGTGAATTAGGCTGCTTCTCTGCTCTCAGAGTTGCTGGTTTGATGGGATGCTCAGAAATAGCAGGAGTAAGGCAATGTAGAGGAGAGATGAGGAGATGAGCTCAGGCTGGGGATAGATAACCTGTCTCAAAGGAAAACTAAGAGTTGGACAGTGGTTCACACCTATAATACTAGCTACTCAGGAGGCTGAGATCTGCGAATCATGGTTTGAAGCCAGCCTGGGCAGAAAAAGTCCATGAGAGTCTTAACCTCCAATAAGCTACTCAGAAAAAGCTGGAAATGGCGCTGTGGCTCAAGTGGTAGAGCACTAGCCTTGAGCACAAAGAGGCTCAAGGACAGTGCCCAGTCCCAGAATTCAAGCCCTAGAACTGGCACAAAAAAGGGGGGGGGGGAGCAGGGCAGGAAGAAAGGTTTCCAAGAAGACATCAGCGCTGAAGGATGAGTAAGAGTTTGCCAGACAGGAAAGGAAGAGAATGTGAAGCCTGGGGAAGAGTGAACAGGAACTTGGCTTTTCAAGTTGGGAGTCTGAGGGGTTGATTCTGACATAATTCAAGTTCAGGAAGCCTTAGGGAGAAGGCTGGAGACAATTGGGAAAATTGACAATAGGACCTTTTGGTTTTTTGTTTTGTTGTTGTTTTAGTTGTAAGGTTTGAACTCTGGGCCTGGGCACTGTCACTCAGCTGTTCAGCTCAAGGCTAGTGCTCTACCACTTGGGCCACAGTGCCACATCCAGTTTTCTGGTGGTTTATTGGAGATAAGAGTCTCACAGACTTTCCTGCCCAGGCTGACTTTGAACTGTGATCCTCAGATCTCAGCCTCCTGAGTAGCTAGGAATAGAGGTGTGAGCCACCGGCGCCTTTGGTTTAATGCAACGCTGTGGATGGATTTGTTTGTTTGTTTTTGTACTCTCATTTTTTTTTTGTTGAGACAGGACTTCACTATATAGTCCCCAGCTGGCTTCAAACTCTGATCTTCCTGAGAGCTTACAGTACCAGCTGTCTATAGGCACGTTTAAACCTTTGTTTAAACCTCTGTTTCTCATGGTGCATCTGGCCTTTCTGAGCAAGGAGCATTGAGAAGGCTTGCTTGGAGGATTAAATGTGGCCATAAATGGCTGAAGCCTAGCCAGGTACTTGACTGAACTAAATCCTCAAGAAGCATAGGCTCTTGTTGTTGTTGTGTCAGAGCTGTGATGGTTGTTTTGAGTGTCACTACTATTCCTGTACAGAGGAGACCGGGAGCTTGTGGAGCTCCCCAGGCCTGGCAGAGAAGTGTGGGTTTGCTTTTCTTGGCAACGGGGAGTCTTCCAAGGTTTGCAAACTGACAGTGACATGGTGAGAGGAACAAGAAGCTCCCTCTGGTTGAGGGGAGTGGGAGGGAGACAGGGAGACCTGATGAAGCTCACCCAGGGCGGTGGGAAGGGGACAACAACTGAGGAGACAAAATGGAGGGCCATTTCCCACCGTGATGAAGGGAGCACCCCCACCCGTCCCACCCTGCGCAACGCACCACAAACTGCTCCTTGTGTGCACCCCTGCATTCCACCCGCAGAGGCCTGGAATAGGAACACTTCAATCCCTGGGATGGGGCTCACAAGATGCAGTTCTGGGTATACTACTGTATACCTTCACCCCCTCAACTTGTGCTTTCTGCAGTTCCTAAGGGTAGAATCTCAGGGCTTCCTGTCCCCCGACCCCCATTACAGCTCAGGGACTGCCCACAGCTGCCTCACACGGGTGTCTTTGGTGCCCCCTGCTGACTGTGCCAGGACACTGCATGGTTCTCCTGCCCATGTAAGTCCCATCACCAGGCCAGAGACCCAGCCATCCCCCAGACAGGCTGCTTGGAAAGAACCTGGGTCTCTAGTATCATCTATGCCAACAGCTGTTCCTTTCAAACGTGTCCTTCTGGCACTGAGTCCTGGCTCCCTGGGGCTGGCCTGGGTGTTGTGCTGTGGGTCCCTTCCACTTGGGGTCTTGGGTTCCCACAGGTGCCTCTGCTCTTGTTTCTGGGCTCCCGTCTCATCTCCTGTCCCTACTGTCCCTTCTGTAAGCCAGGCCACCATCATCTCTTAACCGGGTGACTTCAGCACAACATCTCACTGTCTCCTCTCAGTGTGGGTGTACACACACACACACACACACACATATGCGCACACACACATGCACGCACACATACATGCACACGCACGCACGCATGCGCGAGCACGCGCGCACACACACACACACACACACACACAGTCTGTTCTCCACAGGGAACCAGAGTAACTTTCTTAAAAAAACAAGTTGGACGGCACAACTCTCCTGAGCTCAGGTCTCCTCCCTTGTGCTGTCCCGCTAACTGGCTTCTCCAGCTGTCACCTGGAGGGAAGACTCTGCAGGCTGCAAAGTGCTCCCTGAGCCCCTCCTCAGCCCTCACTGCTCCCTGATAGCCCCAGTTGAACCTCCTCTGTCCCCTTGGGGGACTTTTCACTGTCCAAGGAGTTTGGGGTCTCTTGGAGCCTGTGTTCTCTTCGGGGAGCTGAGGCTTCCTGACACTCACTCCCTAGCGCAAACACGCTGTCTCCCAGCAGGCACTGTATCAGGACTCTCCACCCCCCCCCGTCCCCAAATCTGCCTGTTGGAGATGGATTCTTGGGGTTGGGAGGAATTGTGGTTGTTTTGGGATTCTTGAGATCTGAAGTTTGTAAGTCAGAGGTTTCATATTGTGATCCAGGGACACACTTTGGGGGACGCAGCTCCACACGAGGGTGAAAGATACTGCCTGAACATGGCGATAACTAAGTCAGCATCTAGGGTCTCCAGATGCAGCCTTCTGGGATTCTGAAGCCACGTGTAAATTGTGTGTTGTTCCAGTAACACTTGCTGAAAGGCTTATAGTTGACAATCTTCTTTTTAAACCTTTATTTAAAAAAAATCTTATACATTCTTAACTTCATTCTTTCTCCCAAGGAAACCAGGAGACTTAAGAGGTAAGGCGCCTGGCCCAAAAGTCCCCAAGATTTGAACTCCGGTCATCTGATTCTGGGGTTCTTCTTAAGTGGCCTCTTGGGGGAGCATTGTGTGACTCAGCTCGCTAGGGCCCTGCCCTCTGCCTAGGCTCAGTCTGCCTCTCTGTCCCTTCCTAGTGCTGCATCGACAACTTTGAGGAAATTGTCAAGCTACTCCTTTCCCACGGTGCCAATGTGAATGCGAGGGACAACGAGCTGTGGACGCCCCTGCATGCTGCAGCCACCTGTGGCCACGTCAACCTGGTGAAGACCCTCGTCCAGTAGTACGTGCCCCTCCACCACCAAGGACCCCTGCCTTCTGCCTCTGGCTTTTCTCCATTTCCTTCCTTCCTTCCTTCCTTCCTTCCTTCCTTCCTTCCTTCCTTCCTTCCTTCCTTCCTTCCTTCCTT